GTACCGTACTTCGTAATGTGATTGTCAAGGTGTTTATTTATTATTATTATATATATATGTGTGTGTGTGTGTGTGTGTGTGTGTATATATATATATATATATATGGCTGCTGTAGTTTAGTCCATATGGTATAACCCGTACTATTCTCACCTATCCTTTACTTCGTTGTCATTGCAGTACGAGGCAAGGCGTTCGTGGTTTGCCGCTCGACTGCCCTTTCCGCTAGGCTTCACGGTACCGAACATCACGCGGTCGTTCTACTGCCGCCGCCACATAGACCACGTGGACGCAGACACGCGCCGACCCAACCCAGACACGCGTGTTAATCTCACAGATCTGTCGTTCATGAATAAACGCCCAGATAGCACCGACTTTGCTGCACTGGGTACTACTACGGCACACATGAAGGAACGGAAGGACCATGCGAGTGCGCAGGATATCACGGAGAATGAACGACATCAGGCACGAGCTAGTGCATGCTTGGCGGATTTAGCGAAGCTGTATGACGTTTCGGGAGGGCCTTACCTTTATGGCGATAAGGTGCGACTATGGGTTGTTGTTTTGTTTTGTTGTTTGTTTTTTGTTGTTTCTTTCGTTTCTTTCGTTTTCTGGGTGTTTGTATGTGTGTGCGTGTGTGCGTACTTATGAGGTCCTGGACGACTATGCTCGCCAGCTGACCAATTGCTTGTATTCCTGCGTATGTCTGAGCTTTTGTTTCATGCTTCAACTGATAGTGGTTCAATTCTCCACACCATGCACTCAGTTATGTTCCGTGGACGTTGTACTGTACGGACACGCCATGTTCATGAGCTCATGGGATTCCACGGGGGGGCTGGAGAAGCATGCGGACAAGTACCCCAACGCACACACCATGCGCGATCTGATACGTAAAACCACGTGCGTGTCCAAGCTAATGGATGAAGTGAACACGAGTATACTGCACAGCGACAGCACAGTGTTCAGAAGTATAGCCTCGATCGATAGGGAGTATGAGACTCGCCGGGAGAGTACATTCAAGGCAAAGAGGAATGCGTCGCTGGACGAATTGCATGAGTTGGAGAACACCGTGCCGTTGTACGCATACGACACACGGCGCAACTCAGAGGGCAGTGACGATGGCTACGACCGGGAAGAACCGGAGGTATGTGAGAATCGGCCTGTGAATATCAATACATGTATACATGCTTCTTATTGTACAGTTACACATGGTGCAATTCAGAGGGCAGCGATCTTCGAAAATCTGTGTGTATGTCAACTGGCACATAAGAAATTTTGTACATTGTGTCATCTCTCTGTTGAATACAAGGGGTATTCTTTGAATACGAAGTTTTCTGTGCTCTATTTTGTTGATGTTCAATGGATGAATTGACATGAGGTGAGAAATTGTTACATTCATATTCATACACCACATAGCGCAGTTCAGTAGAAAATGAGGACTTACATCATCGAGGGCATTCTTAGAGATGGGGACTAGTCATTTTCAGCGACTTATATAGGTGCATGTTAGCAATATTTTCGAATAACTCGGTATGAGGTTCGACCTGAGCATCGAGAATGTAGGATAAAATACTCTAACTTTTAAGTCGGAGATTTTTTTGCGAAAGTTTGTCGCACTCACGCCGTGGTTTGGTGATCTCGGCTATACCAATATAAATTGATGATTTGTGTGTGTTTGTTTGTGACTTTTCTATCATTGTGGTATGAGGGCAGTCTACTTGAATTTCTATCATTGTACCAGTATGTGCATACATCGTATACACATAGTTTTACAAGTGTGTTGTTCTCTTTATCATCTGTACTTGAGTATTTAAAACCGCAGTTACTGTAGTGTGGAAAGTTATACCTCGTTATCTTGGTTCTCCGTCGCCCACGGTTTGTGCTGTTTTTGATACTTTGATATGCGGTACATAATTTTTATTCACTCCACACTTCAGGAATACCACGAGGAGAGCTGGAGAAAGTATATATCTTTCGGGGTAGCCGGTATGGCCATGCTTTTGTACGCAATCTCTACAATAACCGTTGCAGTGGAAGAACCGGACAACGAAGACGACCATGATTGGGAGATTTGAGATCAGACTAAATTTGTATAGCATCAATTTAAAGGGTGATGTACTCGCCATTACAGTGATTCTTTGCTCGTTGTTGCACTTCTGAATTTGAAAGTCGGTACCTGTCTGGACACAATTCGTGATAACAAACGTAAATTAGCAAATTACTGTTATACCAATATTAGTAATATATTAGTATCCCTCAGAGACACAGAGCACTCGGCATTCTGTTTCACACCAACTGTTCTGAACTCAGCTACGAGTGACTAAGCTCGTAGCTGGATGAATTTTTATGATTGCGATCACCGGAGTCAATAGAGTAATGAATATAGTTGTACCTCCGCCTATATCAGAATCATCAACGTGTTGAATATCTGAAATGTGCAGCAGCGCTGCTAATGGGTCAGTTGAATACACTTGGCGTGAAATTAAATACGGGATTGTAAACGGATAGAATTCCGTTATAGTAGTTTGCGGAGGTTCATCCCTTTTAAGGCGGTTCCAAGTGAAACTTTGTTTCACAGGCGAATAAAGTGCAAGAGAAAAAAGAGAGAGGGTGGGGGCCCGTGGTGGGTAGGGGAGGATTCTTTCCCCTCGTTTCTTTTAATCTGTAGTCGGGGCTAAACTTGACCACTTTGATTTTACCATATAGGCAAATGAATGACGCGCCAAAGCAGGCGCGCCGATATGTGCTTCAAACAGTATATCTGGACATGTTCAAACACATCCGTGAATAGTCTGATACTGTTCCCAGGGTCCATCTATAGTACAATTTTTAAAATGCGGGGTGTGCGAAGTGAAAAGAGCTCAGCCCGAAAAAAAAGGGGGGGGGGTGGGTTCGCCTAAAACAAAAATCCACTCGGAACTGCCTAATATCTCCTTGAACACGTTTGACACTGTATGTTTTTTGGCAAGTATAGAATTAGATATCTTGTTGGGTGTTTATTGCAACCGTCTATGGAAGCTATAAATCCAAGGTATCGATACATCACAGCAAACCTGATGTAAGATCAATAATCGCACACTGTTCAATTCATTTTCGCTTGCCGTGTTCCTGTTTAACCAACGTTTTGGAACCCCCATGCTCCATTACATGAGACCATGCACAGAAACCCGCTATCGAGAGACGAGGAATACACCTGCGCCATGCAACTATAACTTTCACCCGGCATGGTCCTGTTGAAGGCCATGGGGTGTGACAATACTGGACATCTCGGCATTTAGCGTTTTAACCGTGATTGAGATAATCGCATGTTGAGCAAAGCTCGTTGTACACGGAAGGTACATCACAGTTAGATCATTATCACATTTTGCAACGACGCAATACCCTCGGTTGCCATTATTTCATTCTTTTTATTCCGATAGAATACAATTGTTAGTTGTGTGCTGCGTATTCTTATTCAAGGTGAGATCATGCAGTATGCTGGTCCATTGCTTATGCTATATCGTCGTCTCATGGTGCGTGCAGACATTGTGGTAGTACACTGGTTTCACTTTTCCTGACTCCATAAAGCCATTAGCTACGCCATTTTAGACTTGCACGATTGCACTTCATGTTCGACTGGCATGACATCAATCAGCGATATACAAGCGAAGCTCAATATTTTGAGACGGAAGGCGCATCTATACGCCGTAGCAATCTGACACAAATCGTTTCAATCTAAACGTAGCAGTATATGTACCAATTTTCTCTTTCTCTTCCTCTTTGGCCTCTTGCAAGCATTCATTGAGTGTCGTGCAATCTCGGATCCGTTTTCAGTGCATGACCATGCAATCCGTTTCTGCGCGTCTAGTATTCTGTCCTGGACTTTGACAACGTTGTATTTTTTTACTTGTATGCTCGCATTGGTTTCCGGTGAAGGCATGCAACTGATCTGAAGCACTTCGCATTGATTTGAAAATTACTTAGTATGACTTCTGAAATCATCGTACACGGAGGTCATACTGGTTTTCGGAGGAGGCATGCAACTCATCTGAAGCTCTTCGCATTTATTGGAAGATGAACTTCTATCACTTCTGAAAACCTAGTACACGGCGGGATTTTCAAGAGCTGCTGCTTTGTTTTGTGTTACAATATGCAGCACACTCGTACACGTTGAGATAAAAAGCGGCATCCTTAGAACACAAGTCTATGCAGAACGAAGATTCGCTGCGCTGAATCTCAATTTGTTTCGTTTGCAAATATATAGGAGAACCTCGACGATTCCAATAAACTTTAGATACCTGGTCTCCGGATACATACGTTACGTATGTGAAGTGTACTTTCTCAGATATCAGACAGCCTTTGCTTCTTTTTCTATGCGATCGCCAAATGATCTTTCTGAATGCACCTGCATAAAAGCTTCGAGCGCGGATTATGGGTACGTCTAAAGCTGTTCTCTACATTAATATTTGTCTGCACACTTATATATATTCATGGCCTTTATTTATATTTTTGTGAATATAATAGGGTTAAAAATATATTTTTATTAGGGTTAAAATTAAATTCTTCAACCCCTGCAAAAGCTTCAAGAAAATGACCAATTTGTATTTTTTTTTAAACAAAAACAAACATAAACATTAAAATTTACATCGATGGTCAAGCAATATTTTGGAAAAATCGTTAAATCATTCCCAGGAGTCCCAGCCCCAGTCCCCAGAGGCCCAGACCCACATATTGTGCCCACTCGAACTGAAATATCTGATGTTTAACAACGATTTGAAAAGAAACTCGAGCTCTCTACGGACTTTATAAATAAATAGAGGGTCATGAGCTCTCGCTCAGTCCCTCTCTGGCTCTCTCCTAGTATAGTAGTAGAGAGAGAGAGAATAGAGACTGGAGACTAGTAGTTCAGTTCTGTTGTTTTTTTTAAACATACAGAGTAAATCTCTCAGGCTCTGCTATTTACTCTGCAACTAAGTACTCTGCATTCTGCACTGTCTGTGACTAGCTCAATAATAAGTTTACGGAATATAAGTTCCAACTTTAATGTTAACTTTTTGATTTTTAAAAGTTAAAACTTTTATTTAGGACAAATCAACTAAAGTTTTGTTTTGAAACTGCACTCAATAAGCTGTCCTATCGTTGAAAATTTAGGCTACGAAATTGATAATAGGCAACCAAAGGAGATTGAGTGTTTCAGATGTGACGACTGTCAAATGAGTGACCTGTAAAATGCACCTATCATATATGAAAGTGTACTATCGCGTTATAAAAGTTGCAATTTATGTTTATTCGAGGCATAATATAAGTTGCAAATTTAAACGCATTGAGCTTAGCCCTGCGCCCTGCGGTCTTCGTCCTCCCTGTGTCTCCCGGTCTCCTCTCGGGGCTCAGGCTCTCTTTCTCGGTTTCTCTCGGCAGTCTCTCACTCTCAAGACCAGGCTCTCTCTCTCTCACGCCTCACGGACTCACGCTTCACGGCTCACGGTCTCCTCTCACTCTCCCCAAATCTGTTTTATTTTTTTTAATACAGGATATTGTACTAACTTTCGACCCAAATAACTTATGAGCTACTGAACATAATCGGGAATTTTGTTTTACTAAAAATGAAAATGTATAGGTATAGCATCTGTTTTGATGCCACATAGTCATGATCATAAATCGCTGGGCGATTTTTGGCGTAGGCTCATAAATAATTTCTCTAAAAATTAAAAATTATTTCTTCTCATTTGGAATTTTTTTTAGTCTGCCTCATTGGCCTTTTATTTTAGGCTTTGGTCGGTGATCTTTTCCTCTAATCAATCGTGAGATATCTATTAAACAATCGTGAGATAGCTATTAAACAATCGTGAGATAGCTATTAATCAATCGTGAGATAGCTATTAAACAGTCGTAAGATAGCTACTAATCAATCGTGAGATAGTTATTAAACAATCGTGAGATAGAAATTAAACAGTCGTAAGATAGCTATTAAACAATCGTGAGATAGCTATTGAACAATCGTAAGATAGCTATTAAACCATCGTGAGATAGCTACTAATCAATCGTGAGATAGCTATAAAACAGTCGTAAGATAGCTT